AATCAAGAAGGGGGTTAGTTAGGGATGTATTTTGTCTCCATACCTTTTCAATCTATATACAGAATAGATCATCTGGGATGCTAGGTTGTACGAGGAGGAATGTGGCATCAGGATTGGTGGAAGAGTCATCAACAACCTGCATTATGCAGATAACACAACCCTGCTTGTTGAAACTGAGGAGGACCTGAAGTGCTTGCTGCAGAAGGTCAAGGACTGCAGCCTGCTATATGGACTGAAGCTCAACATCAAGAAAACAAAGATTCTCACCACTGGGCTGATTGGCAGCATCATGATAAATGGTGAAGAAATTGAGATTGTTAACAGCTTTAGTTTGCTTGCCTCCACAGTCAACACTCTTGGTACCAGCAGCCAGGAAATCAAGAGACGAATTGTATTGGGAAAGTCAGTTGTCAGGGACCTCTCAAGAGTACTGAAGAGCAACGACGTCAGGATGGAGACTAAGGTGCGCCTGATCAAGGCTATAGTCTTCGAAATTACGTGCTATGCATCAGACAGTTGGACAGTGACTAGGGATGATAGAAGGAGAATAGATACCTTTGAGCTGTGGTGCTGGAGAAGAGTGTTGAATATACCATGAACTGCTAGGAGAACAAACAGGTTTGTCCTGGAGAGGGTAATGCTGGAATGCTCCTTGGAGTCAAGAATTCTGAAGCGTCGTCACATACTTTGGGCATGTTCCAAGGAGGTCCTTAGAGAGGGACATCATTTTTGGGAGAGTGGAGGGAAGGCGCAGGAGAGGAAGACTCGATGAGATGGATCAATTTTGTGATTGGGGTGGTGGGAATGAGTGTGTTTGAGATGGCGAGGTTGGCACAGGATAGAACGGAGGTTAGAGCTCTTGAACATAGGGTCGCTATGAGTTGCAAGCCACTTGACAGCACATAACAACAACAACTACTCAGAAGATCTGTGTGCAAACAGAATTTAGTCTCTCAGATCTGAGATTCTTCTTCGGCTGCAGTCGTGTTTCCTTCAGCTAGACCTTCCCATCTTGGTCTTGAAGGTGACTTGAATGTTTCAAGGATGTAAGTAATTCAGTGAACTTTTTAGTTGCAAAGTCACTATTTGGGTAAGCTTAGTAAAGAAAACCGTAGAAAATAGAGGAGTGCCTTTAAAATAACTCTTTTAAAAAGTGGGTAACTTTTAGCCTGACCTGTATCTGTGTATCCAGCAATTTGCTTTTTTATTTACTCAGCATGCTTTGAGATTTGCTTTTCCCTCCAGAAGAGTTCAATGCAGGTGTACTGTTTGGATGTTGACACAAGATTATCTAAAGCTTATCTGCTGTCCATCTGGACATATATTAGTGCAAATGAAGTACTTCATGCCTTTCTCCTGTTTATTTAATTGAGTCTGTAGATCAGTGAATGTGTTGTGTTTCACTTGTCAGGAACAGATATGTGTGCTTATCTGTGCTCTGTGGAAACTTTGTATGGAGCTTGGAGCAAAAGTGTCCTTTTTCACTCTCTCCTGTGAGCTTTCACTTTGATGTAGTTCTTATTCACCTGCTCAGCTTTTATATAAGCCCCTGGGTTCCTAGAACGTGAAGATAACATTCAATTTTGGCTCCCTCAAACCACCAACTGTAGAAAGGAAATGGATGGCTGCACTCAAGCACATACTCATCATCTGTTGTTAGTAAAGTATTCTCTTGGGCCATAAAAAGTAGTTTTTATTGAACTTGTTTGTTTGATCAAATCTCTGTCCCAAACTAAGCGTGGAATGAAAACCATGAAGTACTTCTGAAAGTTTGCAAATATATGTAGGTGTGTTGTTCACCATCACAGCGTGTTCTCTTCTGTTGACTTTGTCAGAAGTTGATTGTGATGACATAAATGAAAGCACTTTGTATTTTTGTGATCGGTGACTTTTATTATGAGTGTCTTTATAAAGAGAGAAAGACCTTCAATTATATGAATTGGCTCGGGGCCCGTAACAATGGGCAGGACAGAGAGGGTGAGGATAGTGCCAGATACATAGGGCAAGGTTCAACTTGAAGCCACCTAACAACAGCAACAGGTTTTCCAAACTCTTTAGGGATGAACAAATGAAATAAGCAAGGGTTCTGTTTCTTTTCTCCTTTATTTACTTCACCTCTAGAGAGGTAGGCAAAATGGAACCACAGACCCTAAGGGGAGATTATCTTTTCTTCCCTATTATATAATTGGTGCGGACATGGTGGGTTAAGGAGCCGGGATGGCAGGGAAGAGCAGCTGTGGGGGCAACTCCGGTCATCTCCATCTTTGTAATTAAAGAAAAGGTCCATGAGATACTCTAATAGAACAAAACAGAGAAAAGTTAGGACACTTGTCCCAGCTTCCGTGGAAGGAGGAAAGGGCAAGTCTCCTGGCCACGAGGGACCTCTGGTGGCCTATTGGGTATGGAGAGGTGCTGCCAACCCAGTGGCAGGTGGTTTGAATCCACCAGCTGCTCTTTGGGAGTAAGAGCTCCTTCCGTGCAACCTACTGCCTCTGAAAACTTACTGCAGGGTCAGCTATAAGTGGGTTCCTGGTCAGTGGCAGTGAGGGGGTTTAGTTTTGTTTTTTAAAGCTTCCATGAACAAAGCCTCAGCAAAGACTTGGCTAAAAAACTTTCAGGAAAGCAAGAATATGGAGATTTGGATGTTAGTAAAGCAGTAGTGTCTCATATGCTTAGAATTTTCTTGTCTCTTGCCCTGTCACTATAGTCTTTCGATAACAGGTGCTTTTTCTACAACTCTTATACGCCTTTCTGTTCTCAGATTTTCTTTGCTAGTTCTTCTCAGTCTATTGCGACTGTACTGTAATACCAAAGTTCTACAGAAGATGTCGCCATTTAACACTATTTGCAGTCTCAATCATTTAGTATAATTTACTCCCATTTAAAGATTCAGGTTTTAGACAAGTCTTTTAGTAGATGGGCGGGGAATGGTACCATTAATCATTATGTACATGTGAAACTGTGGGTTTTAAATTAATTAGAAAAGGAGCAATTGCAATTACCTTCCTGAAGATGAAAAATAATGTGCAGGGGTTTTGTGTGTGT